ATCCGCGTCCTTTGGAAAAACAAAATCAAAAAATGGCCCCAAAATAACCAAAATTAAAATGTAAAAAATGAAAGTCAAATAGAAGAAGCAAGCAAAAAAACAAAAAACAAAAAAAAACAAAAACAAAAACGCTTAACCAAATTTTAAAACAAAGAAAAAAACCCAACCTAACAACAAAACCAACCTCCCAAACAAAAGCAAAACCCTAAATGATGTGGAAGTCTGCAAATATGTGCACATGTAGATTACTATTTAAATATATGTTTGTTTGGTTCCTTATGTAGTATCACAATCCGAATTTTTACTTTCTGGTTGATATAAAAACTCCAAAAAGTATTGTAGGAAGTTAGACACTTATTCTAAGATCATATGACATTAACAAAATGGTGTGAAATGTCTCCACTATTAAAAAAAAAAAAGGAAATAAACCTATGACCCAGACATGCTATGAAAACCCATGCAGCCACTCCCCGCAATTTGCCTTGGTTATTGCTGTTGCTTCTTCCAGAAACCCTCTTCCCCACGCGCGAGCACAGATGCCATACAAAATGTGACCAGCAGGCAGATTAACAAAGGTTAGTAAGGCCGGAGGACACCAAAGTTTTGTTTAGCTTTACTTAAAGAAAAGAGTAGCCCTAGAAAAAAGTTAACAGATGACAAAGTAGAAAAAGAAGCAGTCAATAAGGATGATGTTAAAAGTGCTAAGAAAAAAAAAAGTGCTAAGAATCCCTACTGGCAGACCAAGTGAGACTCTTATCAACTAAAATTGTTTTTCCTTTAAGATAAGAGGATTTTGAAACTAGTCTTTCTAGAGCATATATAAGATTCACTATTTTCTGGTGTCATATCAAACTGATCCTTTTTTATTTGTACAATTAAAGTTTGTTATCCAGAGAACAAGGAAGCATAAAAAAGAATCTTTAGAATGGGTCTAGTTTGTTTTTTTATACACTTAAACCAATAAATACCTCACCCCCAAAGTTTTAAGAAATAAATGAAGGACAAAAATGAAAAAGTGCAAATCTATTTTCATTCAAAATAATTTAAAATTCTCCAAGTAATATTCAAGATGCGTTCTATCTATGAAAATCCGTGGCGTTTCTAGCTACTTGGGGAGTAAGTACCACAAGAAGGGAAGACTCTCTCAATGAGCATATGAAACACAAAGATGATACTCTGCTAACGCAGCTCTCACTCTTATCTTTCCAGCCGCTTAGCTCTGTACCGTTACCCACTTTGCAACTCAGGCCTAACACAGCAGCCTGACTTTGAAACAAATAGTTTTAAGGACTATTTGGATAATAACCAATTACTCTTAGCCAACACAAGCAAATCTTGGTAACACAGATCTAAATAAAAGCAATGTTTGATTTAGAATTTCACACAGTGAATACGATAAGAAAGAGTTTCTATCCAGAGAAAGAAACTACTCATTAGATGTATAGCCCAAGACAGTGCAGTAAATGAAGACACTGCTACTTGAGTCTCTCTCTTATTTGGCTACCACTTCCAAAAGTTTCTCTATGGTTAGTAAGAGAGAGAATTGAAACTAATAAACTATATCTTGCTTTCCAGACTAAAGAATCTGTATGTACAGGGAACACAAATGGCCTTTACAGTGTAATTCAGCCTATGTATTTGATGATGTTGCTATTGATCACTTTTTCTAGGAGGGTGACAGATTACTCTCTCCTAGTAGAAAATTATATATATAGAAATGAGTGCTATATGTGAAAGCTTATTTTTTTCTTTTCATTTTCAGTTCAAGATATCAGAATGTGAAATCTTAAGTATTTTTTTCAAATTTCATTAATAAACATTAGAGAAAAAAGTATGACTAGCTCCTGGAAAAGGTTTTCCTACAATTACTTATAAACTGAGTTTGACCTAAACGCTCTTGATTCTTTCCACACAATTGACAGCTATGATTTCTGTTTCCTAGCTTCTTTTCTGCTCTTAGAACTGCTTAAGGATGAAATGAACATGACTTGATATAAGAAATGATAGGTATTCTATTTATTGCTTTAATTATAAGGCCTAAGTGACAAAAGCTACATATTTAAACTTTGAAGTAAAACACATACAAATGAGGGAGCCTATATAAATCCAAAATAACTCAAATCAAGGGACTATATATGTTTTTTATTAAAAAAATACTGTCTAGAATGACAGTGGTCTTAGCAGTCAAGAATATCAACCCCATTCATACTGATACTAAAAAACTCTATGCAAACTTTACAAGTCAAGATGTAAATTTGCTCTCATGTTAAAAGGAACAATTTTAAAAAGATATTTAGATTACAGATTACAGATCTGGCCAATTCACAGGTCACTGAATGATCTTTCAGTTTTCATTAAATGCCAAGTGCCAAGTAGGCCTCCTGAAGAGCCTCTGCAAGGAGCCTCCTCCAAGGCGAGACTAGAAAGCCAAACAGTGTGTAGTGACAACAAAGCAAGCACAGAAGGACCAGAGTCCTGATGCAATATTAAGTACAAGGGAATAATGAGCAACCTTACAAGGTGACACATCTGGGAAACTATCATAATACAAAACTTACAGACTTGAACTACATTTTTTTGGTCAAAAATTATGATATATAATAAGCATTAAGTACACATTTACTGGATACTTTTTTTGTATTTTTCTGTTTACTCCTATAGGGTCCATTATACAGCATTTTTGCTGCTTGACCACAGACTAGAAGACCAAGTCCTAGAATAGATTCTTCATTGAAGCTGTAACCTCTAAACTGTCAGCTCCTCTTGAGGACAAAATATTTAAGTGAACCATATAGCTGAACCGATGGGAGGGAAGTCACTTCCTTGCTTTAAGGAACTCTTCTAGAAATCCCAGCTTCTTTTATAGCTACAAAGAGCATATGAGAAGCATAACCTGATTACTTGCAGACAAATTATGCTCCCATGGAATTACAGTCTTGGAAACCGCCAGGGCAGTTCTACCTGTCCTATCGGGTCGTTATGAGTCAGCATCACCTCGATGGCCGTGAGTTTGGTTTTTCTTGGTCTTTATTTTAGGACACAGAATGATCACCATCAGCTGGGTATCACGGTTTGTTTATTTTCTCTTTTTATATTTAGTTACTCAAGGTGTGGTCCCTGACCAGCAAAAACTTTAGCAACAACTGGGCGCTTGTCAGAAATGCAGAAGCTAAGGCCCCACCCAAGACCTACAGAATTCAAACCCGACTGTAAGAAGATTCCCCAATGATTGAGAAGCACTGCTGTAGCAGACAGAATACCAAAGCTTGTCAGCAAGGCTCAGGTTTACGCCCATGACTTATCAGGTACTTAAGGGTAGGCAAGGCAGCAACTTTTAGCATTAGTTTTACTGACTACAAGCTGGAGGCGATGTTGCTCACTTTACTTATATACCTATCTACAAAAGGGCATTGTTTCAGGGATTAAAACTAATGGCAGATGTCAAAGATCCCTAACTCAGAGCTCTATGCAAACACAGGGCACTACTGTTTATAAATACTACTGTTAATAAATTACACCTGTCTTCGTTGAATAAATTACACCTGTCTCATTGAATAAATTACACGTCTTCGTTGAATCTCTCCACGACCATCAGAGGCATACTATTACATACATTATTAAGATAAAAGGCTCCTTCATGGTTCACAAACCTTTCAAGCTCCTAATCACACTGAAGCTAAATCATCTTTCTGCTTCATTATAGATAGCTTTCTAAGGAGACTATCTACTACACTATCATTTCTCTTGCACTCAAATGCTTGAGTTAGTCTTTTAATTCATCTTTTGGCTTGTTTTGTTTGGATAGTACTACATTTTCAAGAAAACACACCCGGGTTTAAGCTAGCATTTAAAAATACTGCTTTCACAGTCACACCTGAGAGCTGAGTTGCCTGGGAAAATGCTGGTTTTCTCAGAGTTTGGCTTTTCTGGCCCATTTAGTCTATCTTCCCCAACACACAGAGTACGGTTGTGAGGTTGTGGTTTACAAGCTACATTTTATGCCAAAATCTGAAGCCAGGGCCCAAATTTCCTTCCCAATACCCTTTATATATAAATATATATATATATATATATTCATGAATCTTAAAAGATGAGAAATTTCTAAATTGTACTTACAATACCCAAAGGTTAGTTCTATTTGTTACACATCAAGTGAACCCTGAGAAGTGTCTTATAACCAGGACCTGGTTAAACAAAATTGGTTGGCTTTAAAAATCTAATGGAACAACTTATTTACTCATGAGATTTCGTTTCTATCAACCCTAGAAAACCAATTAACATCACAAAATGCTAAGGAGCTGCTGACATTCTGGCTGCAACCTAACCTGACTTTTCAACTTCTCACTGAGTCTTTTCTCACCTCACAGGAACCAGAATCCCCTTCTCTTCTTTAACTTAGTTCTGTAGCCTAAGCTCCCTCTGTCATCACACATGCCACTGAGAACCTGATTGTGAATTCAGTCTTCATGCAGGGAACAGAAAGGTTAACACATGCAACTGTGCAGCAACACTTTCAGACACAGTTTAACTTAAAAAAAAAAAAAATTGCCCAGCATGACAACTCCCCAAGTCAGCTCAAGAGCAGAAAATTAGTACTATCAGGTGATCAGAAACAAAACCAAGGCAAACATCCACCAAATCCAATATTCAGAGTAATTCTCATGAAAAGAACTACCTCTGATGCAAATTCAAAAACTGCTATTGGGAGGCTGAGGCTATCAGAGAAGCTCCCACTATGTCCTCGAAAAGCACTTGGTTTGGATAGAAGTAAAGACTTGAATTTAAGGCATAGAAGGCACAAAGAGTACCTTTGTGGGCAGCTTCTCAGGATAGGGCTATAGGAGATGTGAGTCTGTCCTCCATTTAAAAATGAAAGACTAGTATGTGGGACCAGTGAGAACCCGGAGCAGCAGGGGCAGGTGCTCATCTGTGGAAAAGGGAAGGGAAGAGAGCAAGTTGCCCTTTTCCTAACAACTAGTAGATTCAGGACAGACTCCTACCAGTCTCTGCTGCTCCAAGAGAAGATCTGCTTCTTCCTTCTCCTTTTTGTACAGGATTTCCATTTCTTGTAGCCTAGCAGATGAAAAGCACAAAGAAAGATAGGAAAGAATAAATTCTGAAATTGCTGGGTTGCTTAATGAATGCCATTGCTTTTTAAAGTGGCAATCTTAAGGCTGTATAATATTCACATGTGTGCATTACCTTTTCTCCATCTCCTGTTTCATATCAATTCCTTGTTTTTCCAGGAGTTCTCTCTGGGCAAACGTCCAGTCTACAGGCTCGGAGGGTGTCTCAGCAGAGGGAGTCTTTTCCCGCTCAGCCCTTGCTTGCTCCGGGTGGTTAAAGCGAAAAACATGGTTTTTACCCATGATGATGCGGTTTCCTAGCACAAACCAAAAGCAGGGTTAAGAAATCATTTTGTAAATAGATAGTACCTAGGCCAATAACCTTATTCTCTCTAGTGCAAAAGAGAGCAGCTTTTGGAGTTCTCTAGGGACACACATCCTAATATTACTGCTTCCCCCCTAAACTAAGAGCGTAGAATTAGAGAGTTGCTCACATTAGTCATGGTTGCACGGAAGGCCTCACACCCTCCCAATCTCACCTGAGCGCAGCTGGACAGGCTGAGCCACCCTCTTGCCATTTACGTAGGTTTCTGAGCGTTCACAGGGCTCTAGGGTCACGATAACTAAAAGGAGCACAACGGAATATTAAGAGTCTATGATAAATTACTAGAAGCAAATCATGGGCTATCAGGATTCACCATAACTAGGACACCAAAACCCACTGCCACGGGTTGATTCTCACTTAGAGCAGGGTTTCCGAGATAAGGTTTCTGACGCTGTCCACCTTTATGGAAGCAGATTGCTTCACCTTCGGAACTGATGGTTAGCAGCCCAGCACTTCACCTCTTGTGTCACCAGGGCCCCTTTAGAGGGAACAGACTCCTGCAAGCAACCAAGTGGTTGAAGCATCTGTGACCTAGCGCATGTTGGGGTATCAGAGTCCGTTCAATACAAGAAGCTAGTTGGGGCTGTGACTCACAGAAACATTTAACTGAATTGGAATTAAAGACCTTGACAAACCTCATAATAACAGATGATTTAGTTTTGGTGCTATTTGAAGGCAGTCAGTCAATTAAATCGAAAACCACAAGAAATCTTACTTATGTAATATAAGTAATAACCCCAAACTTAAGATTAAAAACCAATATTTTGATTAGGAAGGAGGGAATTATACGTGCAAAAATATCACTGTTCTTTTGTTAAAAATCTAAGGGGAAATTCAGATAGACTTTTTCTTTCATGGAAAACATGAAAATAAATTCTATTGGGTTAAGCACAGAGGTTCTGCAAATCTTCTACTGCCCAGAATATTTGTTCCTTTCTTACTTTTCTATGAAATCATTAAGATTCAAGACCAAGCCTACTTGCCTGTGTCATGCTGGGTCCTTGGCAGTAACCAAAGGGCTCCTTTTGTAGAAGCTTTTTTCCATGTAAAGTAGCTATGAATGTCCTCGAATTTATAAGTAGCTCAAGCTTCTCCATGCTCAGTATTAGACTGGACAAGAAAGTTCCAACCGAAAGACACAGAGCATACCAAGTCTTGGGGATTTCTCATAGCACAGGATAAAAAGGCTGCCCGAGAAGCTGCAGCCAAGAGCTCTCACCTTCACCAGTGTTGTTTCTCTCACTCCGGAAGATACAATGCTCTTCTTTAATGTGAGCCCCACTCAGCACTATGTCCTGGCGCCGCTCAGCATCTGCTTGGCCAACCCTGAACACAAGAGAAAGGGTTTCCCAGGGAAGTGGAGACACAAAAAGCACCACAGACAATGAGCCTCTTTCTCCCAGAGAATACTCTTTAGTAGGTACAAAAACAACACTGCTTTTTTGTATCAGAATCTTTCAATTGCAAATTCTATTTGTCATACATGGTCAACCTCCTTACATCAGAATGAGAAACTAGGGAGCAACTATATACCAATTTAACTCACAGTGCATTACAAAAAGACATGAGCAAACTAAACGCCCTAAAGAACTCATGTAAGATATTAGACGAGGTGATAATTTTTAGGATTTCAAGGAAAAGACATGCTAATCGGTTTGGCTGGCTAAAACCGCTAAACATAATTTGAGAAAGAAGGAAAAGATAGTTTATGATAGAGAAAGCAGAAAATCATTACATTTTCAACAAATAACTTGCCTTTCATTACTCAATCATTTAAGAGAAATGAATATTTATCTATCAGCTGAGCAAAACAAGAAAAAAACATACCTTGTAATCCCATCTTTGATGTAATAAAGCAGGCATTCAGACATCAGTGGGTCTTCATTGAGGTTAACAAGATGTGGGGTCTGAAAAGAGTTATAGATTGTCATTTTGGAGCAAGGCACCATAGCAAAGCAGCCCTCACAGTGCCTAGAAGAGAGACTTCTGCATTATTACTACTTCCAACCCTATAATAAAGAGAAAATACAACCATTCTCAAGTTGCACTAATGAACTCTACTAAAAAACATGACTTCTAGGATAAAGAACAAGACCCGATTCTCAATAGGGACAAAGCACAGAGAACAGGTTTATTCTCTTTAGCTAATTACACGTAGGCCCAAATCCCAAAAAGCAACTGAATCTTTAATTTTACATGATAATAAAAATGTCTTCCTAATCCTCCAATTTCCTGCTATAATTTTCATCTTCTACTTTCATGATCCCAGTTATTGGCTTTAAGTCTTTTGTAAAAGAGAAATTTTAATTGCTGATCTCTAATAATATAAAAAACTTCTAAAAAAACCCTCTTTAATGCAAATATTTCTAAAATCTTTTAAAAACCAACCTTCTTTGGTGAAAAAAACCCACTGGAATCCATAAATAAGTCACACTGCTTTGGGGTCAAAATCTACTCAAGATAATGCCCGCAAATGTGGGAATGAAAGAAGAGTCAGAGAAGGGTGTTAAGAAAAAGGACTGTAAGAGACGACGAAAGAGAAAGTCAGTAAAATTCCTACATCTCCTCAACTAGCGTGTACATCTTTCATTCAAGAACTCTGCTAGTTTGAGAAAGTAAAAGTGCTTTATGGGCAGCATACTTTAAAACATACCCTGACACTGGTCAGAAAAGAAAGGCATCTCAGAAACAGGCTCTGAAACTGAGTTTGGATGTGGTCAGTGGAATATCCCCTCCTTTCCTGAGGAAGTCCAGAAAGTTAAGGCCAGATGGGTAAAGTTAAAATAAGATGAAGCTTAGGAAATCGAAAGCTCACTGTTTATAAGATCTGAACACTTGTTCAAGTGTTTATTATGCACTGCTGTCAAGCTGACTCTGACTCACAGCGACCCTGTAGACTCCCCACAGATGTCCCGAGATTGCAATCTTCAGGGAAGCAGACTGTCTTGGCTCTCTCCCATGAAGTGGCTGGTAGGTTCTAACCATCAACCTTCTGGTTGGCAGCCAAGTACTTAGTTACTTAATCCTTGTTCAAGTGGTTTATACAGACTTTCAATGTCATAATGTTTTCACAATGCGTCATAAAAATCCCCCCCCCTCCAGTTTCTTAATAGTTGGAAGATACTACAAAATACTTTTAGAGATATGTATATAAATTCTATCACCTATTACTGCTAAAATCTCCTTAAGTATAGGTAATATAATCTATCTTAATGTAGGAAAAACTAGAAAATTGTGGAAACCCACCTATCTTTGCCAACATAGATACATAAAATATGGTTCCATTTTGTACAATATGTACCTAAAGTGTCTTTAAATGTACTTTGTCTGTTGAAAATAACAAATCAAAATTTGTAAAAAAAAGTTATGTGGTGAAAGAAATAAAAATTTAAAAAAAGTTACGTGAATCTTGATTGAAAAACCTAACTATAAAATCCTAGCAAACTATTTGTTTTATATCACATAAAACAAAACTCCAGTTCAAAGTTCCTTATTCTTCCTATGCTAACCAAAAGAGGTCATTACAAGACCCTATACATGAAGATGTGTAAGTCTCCAATGACAAATCTGAGATTATTTGAACTAAAGAACCATTAACTAATTGTATCTATTCTATCACTGCCATATAAATATTCAGACACACTAATTTCTTGATAGATGTTCAATATCTAACAATAATTAGCTAGCAACTTAGTAAAGAATACTGTGCTAGTTAGCTAGTGGGCAGCCAGGACTCGGCTACAGCTGGGACGGCTACGTGGGAAAGCACCTCCTGGAATCAGAGAGAGCGCTGGGAGAGGAGCGGTGAGACGCGCAGGGTGAGGAGAGGAGCGGCTTTACTCTGGACACTGCTGTCTACAGCACCAACGCTTCTTCTACACAAACCTGAACCGTCGCAAGTACTTCCAAAAGTTATTAAACTGGGTTGATGGCCTCTGTGGGAAAATCTACAGAGAACGGGTAGCCAGAACTGAAGCAAGGTATGCTAGGTTAGGCTGAGAGTTTAGGAGAAGCAACAATGAAGATGATTAAACATAGCGAGCATGGCCCAGAGTTTGCAGATTTACTGCTTTGGTGTTTTATTTTGAAAAGACCAAACGTGAGAGACATTTAAGAAACAAGTGTCCCTTGTGCTATAAATTGAAATCAGAAACTAAGCCAAATTTCAAGATTTTTTTTAAAGGAGGTGGCAGGAACCATCTTGAAAGACATGAAATACTTCAGTGACTGAAACAATGAAAACGCATTTCCATTTGGTTGAGTTTCACAACTCTGTTTCCTACCTTTTTAGGTGAGAAAACCCCCAGAGTTCCTCCATCTTCCCGAATGGCAACTCCCATCTCAGCCAACAAGGCCTCTCTGGAAAAAAACACAAGTTCATCAGCATGTTGTTAGTGGCCATCGACCTCATTCTATCTAACTCATGGGAACCCCACGTACAGAGTTCAATATTTCAAAGCTATGACCTTTTGGGAGCAGATTGCTAGATTTTATTTCCAAGGCATTTCTGGATGAGTTCGAACCACCAAAACAGGTAAACTGTAGACTTCTCTTTAAAGTGTTAAGACTTGTTAGTGGTACATCATTTAACCATTTGTACCACCCAGGAATTCCATTAGCACACCAACACCATGGTTTCAATTAAATCAGTCTAATCTAATATGAATTGAAAATAGGGTATACAAAGGAAAAACAATTGAAAGTCTGTAATACAAATGTGGAACATTTATTCCATCATTAATTAATTCCAAAATTAATTCAGTTATGCTCCTATATTAAGCAAAGTTATATTCACCCAAATAAGAACTGTCTTATTTGACTTTGGAGGAAGACAGTGATTAATAAATACCTATTAACATAAAGGAAGCTTCCTCAAGGCTGTACATTCAACTCAAATAACTATTTCTTCAGCATCTAAGAAAGTATCTCTGCTTACAGACTGGCATATAAATATGACTTTCTTAAATGTTCCCATTGCCACCAATATTCTGCTTTAATGATTTTAGCTTAAAATCTAAGTAAGAAAATGCTGGCATATAAATTAATAAATAATAAAAAAGAAAATTCTATTACATACATTTACTGTGGCAATACATAATTCACGTCTGCTTCATCTTCCAAAAAAGGGAAAGACAGAAACGAATGTTTTGCTTTTTAATGTAGACTTAATCCAATAGCAAAAGTATTACTTTGGATGAGGCTCGCCATCAGGGTAAAAAACTGCTTATAGGTTTGCAACCCAAACTATTACTACCTCTTAAGCAAAGAGATTCCAGAGATAGTAAGTTTGAAAGGCAATACTCAGATTTTTTGGATTTGGGCCATTATCAACGGTATTCGCTTTTATTTTTCTTTTGCATATTATGTTAGTATTTTCTTGTAAATTTCTGGAATTGTTGGTATCTGCTTTTTGCAGTTGAAAACTCCAGCCTTTATTATTTCTCATTTGAACATAAATCCTTAGCAACATGTACTGTGGTAACTATTTAAATGCAGGACTCTCTGAAAAACATTTAAACTCAGATTTCATTTTAAAGTATAAATTCTCAAAATAAGTAAATAAAAATTAATAAAGTAAATTCTCCTGGCCATATGTCCCCAGCCAGATTTTCTTGGGGGGTAGTGGTGGAGGAAATGTTGGTTCTGCTTTTAACTTGTGTTACATCTTTCCTAATAGAAAAGTAATCCATATTTCCTAGAAAACTTAGAAACATTCCCGGATTTTACACTCCTGACCTCTCCATTCGGATGGCCTCTGTTTTACGCAGCTTCTCTTCCCAGGTTTCATTCAACTCAGCAATGATCTTCTCTGACTCCTGAGAGATAGGGAAGTCCACCGTTAACATGGCAAAGAGTCTTATAACATTATCTTGCCTAAAAAGGACAGCAAGAGTCTGCCTTCTGAGGATACAAGACAGAATCTCAGGTGATGAAATTCTTTCTTTTTTGAATATATAAAGTAAGAGTTAAAAGAACTAGGCCTAAAACAAAATCAGTCCCGGAATAATGGTACAAGTATGAGGGGGGCTTCAAAAAGTGTATAGGAAAATGAAATGGAAAGATAATGGAATTTTTCCACAAAATGTTTGAAGCCCCTTGGTACATTCTTTAAATCCTAATAAAGATGTCTTCACACTGATGGTGTACAGGTGTCTGTTTGGGTAATACATTAACGTTCCATGCAGTACTTCTCCTGACAACCACTCTACAAGAGAATAAAATCTCCAAATATACTCATTGTTTTGTTTCACTGTAATTTCACCATAATACTACATCCTCCTCAACACAGCCTGCTGAGACTGTTAGGTCTCATTCAAAGGTATGTAGTCACTGAAGTACTAAATTACCAATTACTTGCTAACTACATATTATAAGAACGCACACATTTCTCTGTACAGGGGATAAAGAGAAGTAACTACTGATTCATTTATTCAATAATTATATATATACTCTGATTCTATGTTAAGCCTTCCTCTAGGCAGGTAGGGATATGTCAGATAACAAATTCCTTGCCCTTATGAAACTTACGCTTTAGTAAAGAGACTAAGGTAGTCCACCTTAATCAATAAATCCAATCTATAGCATGCTGGACAGTGGTAAGTACATGTAAGTGCTTTGGAGAAGATCAAGCAAGGAAGCAAGAGAATGCAGGTGGAGGGGCGATGAAGGTGCAATCTGAAGTGGGGTGGTCAGGACTGGTGTCAGTGACAGGTTTTATGAAAAGGAAAAGCGAGAGCTGCCATGTGGGCATAGGGAACAGGCAGAAAAATGCCTGGCATGTTCCAGAAAGAGTAGTGTGGCCAGTGCAGGGGGTATGAGGATTGTGCATGTGCATGGTAGGAGATGACAACAGAACAATGTGCCAAGGGTAAGATGCAACATAGTTATGGGTTGTTGGGAGGTGAGTGAGCCTGGGGGAAGGCTTACACGCAGATGAAGGAAGGGTATGTGGAATGTACTAGTTGGAGAACGAAAGGGAAGAGAGGATCAAAGGGGACTGGGCACATGCAAAAGCAGGGGATGATGCTAGTCATGGAGATAAAATCAGAAAGTCAGATGATGGTGATGATGAAGATGATAGTGGTGGAGAAGGTAGCGGTGGTGATTAATGATGAAGTCGTACAGATCAAAATATATTTTCATTGTCCGTGTTTCTTTCCAGAGGCTACTACTATATAAAGCCTCCATGATTTCAAAACAATTATACACACGGGAAAAAATGTGAATGATGTAATAGAATAAAGTCAGAGTGTCTGGCACTGGGTTTTCTGAATGTCTTGGACCTCCAAAACAATTCTGTAATTAGATGTCACACACACACACACACACACACACACACACACTCACACACACGGAAGCGAGCATTTTTAAAAGGTAAGAATAAAGAAAGACTCAAACAGCAGCAACGATCAAAGTGCCAGAGCACGAAGGCAGGAGAATCAAGCAGGAAATCAGGAAGGGAAAAGGAGAGGAACTAACAAAGCCAGACACAGAGCAAAGCTGAACGAACTAGGCACGGCCTGGCATCAGGAAGCAGGGTAGAGATGCTGCCCAGGTAATCACATACAAGGCACTTTTTTTTCAGGAAAGAAAGGAGCCAGCTACCAAGCGGGAAAGGCTGGAACAAGTCTGCTACTGGTTTGGGAAGAGGACAAAACACTTGGGTCTTCACTCGTCCTCAGACACAAACACAGGCTACTGACTGATGTCTCTAAGCTAGTAACTAGCAATCCTCACAGAGGAACAATTAGTATGCAGTACACGTGCCACCAAAAGTTAACTGCATGCTAAAAGGCTGCAACCTGGACAATCCATACACTTTCTGCAAGGAATCCCTGAGGAGGAGAGGAGAGGAAATGCACCTGGTGCTAACTGGTCCACAAGAGTATACCTAAGAAGTATTCGTGAAGTCATCCAGAAACTGTCGGAGAATAGCACTAAATATCCCTGTGTGTGACTTTGAAGGGCAACTCTAAGACAAAGCTGACAACAGACCCTCTATGATTCATGGTTCACTCAAGATAGCTCGGTAGAACCCAATGTAGTCTCAGAGTGATGACTTTGAAAATAAAGGAACAAGATGGCAGGATGCGTTCAACCAAGCCAGACCCCCAGAACAGCGTGTTTACAGCACAGCCTGAAAATCCCTTGTTATTTACAGAGTGCAAACGGATGACCCCAGAGACACTTAAAATACACCCACCTTTTCTTCCCCCTTTTTCCTAGTTAGCTATCGTCAGGAAAGGATCACTTTAGAGCAGAAGTCTATTTGACCATATCACATTTATCTTATTTGGAAGCCTCTTCAGAACCCAGCCTAACGAGCAAAGGTACTGTAGACAGTAACTAGAGGAATCCTCTGGCCACTTTGCTGCCAACCACCCAAAGGTGACCTCTCTAGTCTCACTGATGACTTGGAGGGTAAGTCAATACACGATTCTGGGGGAAAGGGACTTACTTAGAAATCGAGTAACGGGCTGCAGCATGGTCTTACTTTCACTGTGGCTCCAAGGTTCAATTGTATGCTGTACAGAAAGCTAGAAAATGCTAAAGAAATTGAATGTCACAGCAAAACTTCAATGTAATGGCAGCCTCACGTCAATTCTGACTTATTGTGATCCTCTAAGACAGAGTAGAACTGCCCCCCGGGGTCTCCGAGGCTGCCTATCTGGATGGGGGCAGAAAGCCTGCTCTGGGTTTCTCCTGAAGATCGACTACTGCTCTTGCAGTTAGCAGTCCAGTGCATTCCCACGATACCACGAGGGCTCCTTAGGGGAAGCCTAAAAAAAATTTATTC